ACGCTAACATTACTTCCGTAATCACATTGCCTGTGCATTGCACGGGCAATAGACTAGTAACTTCATAAAATTAGATATATGAGATCCACACGACATCTTGGTCATTGTTGACCGATTATGGAACTATGATAAAAAAAATTTAACGCCATTAAATGATGGATTTCATGTATTTAGATATTTTCTGTGCTGGATATTTTTAACAATAAATCCTCTTGTACAATGATTAACACATTGTAAATTTTACAATGTGACACATTAGGGTGTGGTCCATCGATTAATTCATGAACTAAATTCAATTTAATGAGAACCCAACATGTTCTATCATAACAAGATGGAAAATGCTCTCTCGCGCCACTTTTCAAAAAATAATGGCGTCGATAGAAAGCACTTGTAAAAGTTGTGTTCTACAATTTTATCCAACAAAAGCTATTTCTCAAATATTAATGTCATAAGTCGAATACATCTTATTGCAGGTTTGATCGGAACAACTGTTAGTTACGATATATACATGTACATCACTTGAAACAACGAGTGAAAAATCAAATGATGCTCGAGTTTGAACTCAAGTATTTAAAATCTACTTAAGTCAAACTTGAGTCACAAAAAGTAAAGCTCAAGTCTCATAATTTGGATTTTTTATTATTNATAATATGGGCCTGTTTGGTAGGGATTCTCATTGTTTACAGTAAATCAATTCTTATTTTCAATCACACATTTTTCAATAAAATAATATTTTCCATCACATCAATAATTTTTTCTTCTTTTTCAACCATACATTTTCCATCATATCACTATTCAAAAATCAATTCTTTCCCCAAAAATCTCTACCAAACAGGCTCTAGATATTTTTTGTGCCGGATATTCAATTCTCGTGCCGGATATTTTTAACAATAAATCCTCTTGTACAAATGATTAATACATTGTAAATTTTACAATGTGACACATTAGGGTGTGTTCCACTGATTAATTCATGAACTAAATTCAATTTAATGAGAACCCAACATGTTCTATCATAACAAGATGGAAAATGCTCTCCCGCGCCATTTTTCAAAAAATAATGGCGTCGATAGAATGCACTTGTAAAAGTTGTGTTCTACAATTTTATCCAACAAAAGCTATTTCTCAAATATTAATGTCATAAGTCGAATACATCTTATTGCAGGTTTGATCGGAACAACTGTTAATTACGATATATACATGTACATCACTTAAAACAACGAGTGAAAAATCAAATGATGCTCGAGTTTGAACTCGAGTATTTAAAATCTACTTAAGTCAAACTTGAGTCACAAAAAGTAAAGCTCAAGCCTCATAATTTGGATTTTTTATTATTATTCTTTTTCTAAAAGTTCCACTTGTCTAAAAATATTTGATAGGCTTATGGAGCTATCTTTGTCTCTACAACCAAAGATTCCTTGGTGTCTTTTTGCAACCTCTGTCTCTTTTTAATTGTGCTCAATAATTTATCTCCTTATCTTTTGCTTTTTAGGCAAGTAAAAGAAGAAAATATCTCAAGGATTAAGAAGCATGAGAAAGGAAGGAAAATGTAAAGATAAGGTTGGGGTGGGAATTGAAACTGTTGGTAGGGCTTTGACTAAGGAATTATGGCTTGTGATGCCAAAACTTGTTCCCAACTTAGTAAAAGATGATGAAATCTTGGAAGGAAATGGTGGCTTTGGCACTGTTTATCTCTTCAAATTTGGCCTGGGTCAAAATAATTTAGGGTCCATTTGGTAAGGGTTTCTATTTTTACTTCTTAAATTATGTTCTTGCTTGTAAAGAATACCTGAAAAAAGCTACATTAGACCAATTTCCTTTGAAAACCTTTTTAATTAGAAAAAATACATCCAAAAATATCCAAACATATTAAAAAACAGTTTCTTAGTTTTAGAAGTAGTTTTTGACTTTTCAAGAGGTCCTTAGTTCATTTGTCAGACTTGGATTCGGTGTTACTCTTTTCTAATATTAAAATATAGGGTTTCACATTAACTTGAATTCTAACTCTAAGTACGTTGGGTACGACTTTCATTCTGAACTGACTCTATCGAATATTGTTAGAGGTGCCGAGCATAAGCTATCAGAAGGAAAAGATCGTGGAATTTGATGAGTCCTTACATCAGATTGGGCTGTAATCGAGGGGGTCGACTAAATCTTGGTTTTAAGTTGTATAAAACAACTTTCGAGCTTACTCCAATTGGAAATTGAGAAACTTTAATCGATTTTCTTGTGGTTTATGAGACCGAACATGATGAAACCCAAGCGCTAGAGGAAACAATAAAGTCTACAGTTGCTCTCATCAAGTGCCTTTAAACTTTTCTCAAAAAACAATGTTCCTAAATTATCATTCATTACACATCTCAAGTGTGTTTTGACGATGTAAACATGTTCCGACTCTTATGTTACTTTCCCTGTTCTCTTTTTCCTCCCCACTTACAATCTTGTTTTCTCGTTAAAATATTATTTACACTATCTTACTTTATTTTGATTTGACGATGTGTAAGAAGTGTTGGGAAAAAAAATAAAATAAAAATAAATCGGGAATGAGAATTGTAACAACAAACTTTTAGTTTCAATTTTCCTACTTAATTTGTATTGAATTGATAGTTACAAAGCCTTAGTGGCTATTGGAACATAATTTGTGTTAAATACAAAATTAATTAAGAAAATTGAAACCCCCATCCATTTGCTATGCAGGGAGGTGATCTCCTCCTTATCCCACATATCAAAATTTGAGAGTTAAATTTGAGAGTTCTCATCTCTCTAAATTTATCTCGACTATTTGTTTTCAAAGAGTCTTATTCTTAGTAGTTTAGATAATTTTAGTTCTAACTTGTGATAGAAGTGGGAGCATTCTTAGTTCGTTTAAAATAATGACGAGGCGTTAATCAGCTACTTTCAACCGTTATATCTTGGAAGAATCCGCCTTCAATCCTCTTGAACCACAGTGTGGAGCGAATATGTTTTAAGAAAATTGTGTGCAACACAGGTCTCGATTCTTTTCAATATCGTCACTGCATCAACAATCATATTTCCTTTATTTTATTGTTTCTTTGTTTGTTGTAGTGTTACTTTCTATTATTTTATTTATATAACTCAAGTAGTATTTTTACTTTCTTTACTTGATAGAAGTGTTCCTCTTTACTTGATTGATTCAGTCGACTCAATTCAATTAACATAATCAATTGATGTCGAGTCAGCCAATGCGGAAGCCCTCCGTAACATGTATGCCACTTAGCTCATGTTTGATAGTCATTATTTGGTCAAAACAACGTTTTGAATAACAATTTTCAGGAGTATATATGGTTAAAAAGTAGAGCAAAGTTTTAAATTTATGTACAGAATAAAGGAGACTGTGTACACATAGTAAAGGAGACTATCTTATCACAAAGCGCCATCATACACAGGAGGGATTTGTGGCTCAACACCTTAGCAATAATGCTTGCCTGACTAGCACTCAGTTGGTCTAGGAAAGACTGCTTCCCCCTTGGTGGCAATGGGAAAGGAGGGATGAAGAAAAACAAAACAATAAAACTATAAATCTCAAATCTCAAATAAAAATCCCCCACTTTCGAATATTTTGCATTCCAGCAAACATTTCTATAAAAAATCATGTTTTAGTTGATCTAAAAATGGTCGTTAACAAATATGTTGTAATACGAAGATAAATATACGACACAATATAAAGTAAACATAGCGATGTCAATGAGCCGAGCCAATCCCGAGCCCAAAAAAAAAGCTCGGGCCGAGCCCGACAAAAAAAGTGAGGCTCGGCCCGAGCCTGCTCGAATTTTTTGATTTTTTTTTCTTAGCTGCCTTTGTAGGCAGCGAAAAATAACTGCCTGCAAAGGCAGCTTGTTAGCTACCTGCAACAGGCAGGCAGCTGCTGCAGGCAGCAAGCTGCATTCAATTTTTTTTTTTTTTTTAATAGGAGGCTCGCCCGGGCTCTAGCCGACTTCCCAAAGTGGGGTTAGGCCCGAGCCTCCGAACTTTTTTGCCACCGCTAAGTAAGCATCACAAATGCACAAGAACAAAATATAATTTGCAGAGGAAATGAGAAATCATTAAAATATGGAGAAAGAATACAAAGATATCGTATTTACAAATTTGTCTAAACCACAATGGAGTTATAGATGCGAAAGAATATTGAAAATGTGAAACGGTCTGGATCGGATATATAGGCCGCTTGAGAGCTGGCGGACGACTAGGTGTAAAGAATTTGACGTAGCCACTCAAGCGGAAGGCTAGCGGAAAAGCGTAAAAAATTTCTTCTTGATCTCTTTAATTCTAACACTAATTCTAAACTCCCAATTGAACTCTCAAATTGAATTTCAACTAAAATTGTCAAATAGATTTCGAATAGTATTCTTAAATAGCATTCCAAATAGAATTCGGATCACCCCCTAATTCAAATAGGATATATAGTAATTTTTGTAATCAAACTTTTTAAAATAAATATACATTTTTTATTTTTGAAATAATTTTTTTTGGTTTTTAATTTGACATAATTTAAAAATTATTTATTTATTATAAGTAACGTGCTGCTCACCTACCTGGCTACCTCTTCCTCACCAAATCCATGAATCACAAGGATAAATAATTGTACAAAAAAAAAAAAAAAAAACCTCAAAAACTTTAATCTTATCGACATCCGAGCATCCAATCAAATAATTACAAGATTTTTCTTTCGACAGACCCACATTGTATACACGTTTTGTACAGGTTAAATTCCAGTTTTTGTACTCTTTTTTGCGCTTTACACGTACAAAATTTAAAGTTTATAATATAAAATTGATAAAATAATGTCGACGAGTCCAAATAATTAACTGGCACCAGTCCACTCTTTTGGTAGCTGGAGAAATTTATTCAAATCAACTTTCTTGATTAGTTCATCGAAATTGTCCCACTTCTCTTCTTGTTGATCTTATCCCAGCACAAATTACAAGTCAACAGCCAGGATTCTGTAAGTATCTCTTTGTTTTAAGATTTTAATATGAAGAAATCACCAGTGATGGAATACGATTGTTGTAAGACTGAATTCAAGTGTTAGCGAAAAACTGACTGATCCGATTGAGTTTGGGTTTTTTTTTTGTTTAGCTGGGACATACTATGTACTGTTCTCGTTGCGATTAATTTGAGAAATTATATCACGCATTTCATTTTTTCTTTCTTTTTCTTTAATATGAGGATGCTAACCAGAATGAGCTGTATCAGTGTATGAGGTACGTGCTGATCTGCCTCTGGGTTGGGTTGATTATGAACTGAGCCTTACTTTGATAAGATACAATTTCAAACCTGAACAACAAGTGTTTGGCAATTAGTAGTGGACTAGATGGTAGAATAAACAAGATTTATAGCATATATACTATCAATTATTGACAGATCCAACTTTCCAGACATATCAATAGTGGATTAGGATTTGAACATTGTCAATTGTTTTTTTTCTTTCCAAAATTTGGATTTGAGCCATTGATCGGGATTTCGGTGAAGACAATAGTTACCACTAAAGAGGAGCAAAAGGGTGAGGATTCAGGCGGAGCTGTGGTGATGAGAGATGAAGATTTGACTAAATGTTAATGGAGCATGATACGTAAAGCATTTTTATTGACATGATTTCTGATTACCTCGTCTCTTGGGAGCCTGCCCTTATGCAAGATAAGGACGCGGCGCCCCCTTCTTCTCTGGTGGAGGCAATCTGCAGTACTAGCCTGCTGGATGGACCTTGAGCACTTTATGTCAGGATGTGCACATAGTCTATACATTTGTCATCTCATGGCACTTGATTGCCATATTAACTCACTTCTTGGTGAGAGTTGAAGGCTAAAATAACATGGAACCCCTCACTTCAAGCTTAAGCTGGTTATCGCCTAGTTTAATATGGGTGCTCATTGTTGCAAGGTTGAGGTGACTGTATGTAATTTTTCGTTTAAGACCTCGAGAGTTCGTTGTTGCCATCCATCTTCTGATTTCGTACTATTATATTTGCCTCAGGTGTATAGTTCAAAATCTCTCCTTACATAGAAGTATATGGTTCTGTTTTTTAATCACTGTTTGTGAAATAAAAGACGGAAAATATTCATCATTACACAAGTTATTTATTATGTGAAATTGAACAAATGCTGGTTGAAAGCTTTTTATTCTGCTTTTTATTCTGTTAGACTAAATTGGAATACGCATAAGGAGCCAAGTTTTTAGCTAGAGTGTCGACTTGAATTGAATCGAAAGCACTTTGCATTTTCTAAATTCATAGTATTTGCTTATTTAAACCTAAATCTGTTTTTAATGATCATTTACGGGTTTGAATGTTCAATTCTTTTTATTATTATGTTCTAGTTGAAGTAAATTTGATTTATTTGTTTTGGGAAGCATCTGTAGCGTTAGCGGTAGTTATACTAGGTTAAAAGAAAATGTGACAATAAAATTTATGGCTGTCATGCTATCTTGGGCGTGTTCTACTAAATAACAATCTTAATATGATGGAGTGTAAACTTAGACAGATTTATGTGAAATTGCTTTAAGAAAGACAAGGTGAGTAAGAATAGATTAAGTAGAATGCTGTGAGACCCTATATGTTGATTGGAGATGTGACGAAGAACGAATCATTTAGTGCAGGTATGATGGATGTAACATGGTGAAGTGGAAGAAAAGAAACGAGAGGATGAAAATTTATGTTACTAGGGGAGGTTTTCAGAAAATTATCGAAGATGTCATCTTATGAATTTATTTTTAAGTGGAAAATTACAATATTTATGTTGTTCATAAGTTCATAAGATGACATCTGAGGATGAACAACATAAATATTGTAATTTGAGGATTTTATATCTTACCCTGCCCTTATCACAATAAGTTGATATAAGTTCTATTTCATGAAAACTGAAGAGAAGTGAGATAACCGATATGCAAGAGCTTATTCTGATTGTGCATATTTGCTAACTCTTGTTTAGAATATTTCAAATTTAAATTTCCACTGTCCATCTGTTGAGAGAATGACAAAGAAGAAAGAAATTTTTTTATTACTAGGAGTTATATTC